ACTTTTCAATGGCCAGAATCTTTTTTCCTAATGACTCACCACAAGTATAGTTGGTTCCACACTTCTTGCGGAAGCAGAACATAATCACGACCTTCCAAAAGAGTATCGTGAATTTCAATGCCCATACCAGAGTCCTCCGATCCAGCATCGTAAATTAGGTCAGAGTTATCAATAATAGCTGGTCTTTTTAACATGCTTGAACCAAATGAATCGTAAATTTCTGCAAAGGAGGATCCATCATTTGCACCACCAACCGGTTGGTCTTGGTTGACATATTCAATCCAGTGTTGCCACCATCTGTCGCCATAATATACAATCATCAGAAAATGTCTATCAGCTACCTGGTTGAGAGGCAGAATCTTATACCTGAATGTTCATGAATATGCCGACTCTTAAGGACATTGCACACAAGCATGTTTATCAAAAACCATAGTATGATTTTCTTGAACCAAAACAAGACATTTCACTGTTCTTTTATTGCCCCAGCTTACTCCCACCATATCACAAAGACCAAAACTGTTTCCTCTTAAACTAAACAGCAAGCCTATGACATTCAATTCCCCAATGGAAAAAGAACAAAGCTTGGGCCTAGAAGGCAACACAATGAAATTCTTCATAAATGGTTACAATTTCACTAGAGGCGATAAAAAATATCACATTAGTCCCCCAGATAGTAATATATATACATACTGGAGGTAGCAAATATGAATAAAAGCAGGGAGAACCCAAAAGGGGGGGGAGGAGAACAACGACAACAGAGTAAGGGTCGATAAGAAACGTTTCTAACACAAATTGTGCAAAAAATTTATAAGAAAAACGAAGGAAATCTAGCAAGAACCTATGACATAATATCTATGGATTTAAGAGAAGTGTAGGAGGAAGAACCTTTGAGTGATTAAATAGAAGACATCACCCTCTTTAGTATTAGCTTCAGCAGCCAAAGCAATGTCCCTGATCATAATCCTCTCTTCCTCTGGAGTGAGCTCCGTGCTGCCACTACTGCTACACATGGAGACTTCAGCCATCTTCCCGTCCCCTTCCCCTAAGATCGGGAAAAAAAAAAATGCTTCGATTTCAAGGAAGAGCTGGATTTTTGCTGATATTCCTCAGTAACCAAACAGATGAGCTAAACTAATTTTCTTTCATTTTCAAAGAATATGGCTCCACAATTCAACCCGTCTCCTGCTGGTTACCCAAACCCTCGTCCGATGACGAACCAGTCTGACTTCTGAGCAGAGAAGGAGCAACGACGAATCAAATCTTAACTCAGACCGGGTCCATAAGTTTTCTTTTTAAGCCGGGTTCATGACATAACCTAAATTACGATTTTAACCTTTGGGATGAAAGAGTTGAAATATAAATTGCTTCCGTGGATTGGATTTGAAAATTTTTTTAGTCGAATAAATTTAATTTTTGGTAGATTAATTATATTCATTCAATATACATGTTATATTAATAATTAGTTTATAATTAATTAGAATATTAAATAATAAACTTTAAATATTTTTAATTTTTATAATAATTTTAAAAATTAGATTGAAATTTTGGTTTTTTTTAGTTGCATCCATGAACGTACAAAGAAAGGATAAGGTGCGGTGGGACGTGGACGATAGACTCAGCTCTGTTCGCCATCATCATTCACCAGTCTCAGTCTTCTTCGCCCTCTGCACTATCTGAAATGGCGTCAGTAGCATCTGCAATTGCGATTTCACCATCACTCCCGACCGCAAGCTGCCGGAAACCTATTTACCCGGCGATTTTCTGTCAACGGGGTTCCCAATTCGGGCATCGAAGGGAGATTTTGAAAGGCCTCACTCTGCTTCCTCTTTCGCTTCCTCTTTTCGAATCGGTTTATCCAATTCCTTCTGAGTCGAAAGAGATCGAAGTTGGTTCGTACCTCCCTCCTTCACAGTCAGACCCTTCTTTTGTGTTCTTCAAAGCTTCCCCCAGGGACACCCCGGCTCTTCGTGCAGGTATTGTTACTTATTTCTCCATTTCTTTTGTTCTCTATGGTAGATTGTTTATCGTCCCATTAGAATTACATAACCATACAAAATGACGGTGGGAGGGAGTCCCACATCGGCTAATTAGCTAATTAAGGAGATGATCATGAATTTATAAGCAAGGAATACATCTCTATTGAGATTGGGATTGGGATGAGACTTTTTGGAGAAACAAAAAAACAAAGTCATTAGAGTTTATGCTCAAAGTGGACAATATCGTTCCACCATGGAGAGTCACAATTCCAAACATGGTATCAAAGTCATACCCTTAACTTAGTCATGTCAGTAGAGTAGAATCTTCAAATGTCGTATAAAGAAATTGTGAGCCTCGAAAATGTAGTAAAAAAGTGACTCAAGTGTCGAGCAAAGGGTGTTCTTTGTTCGAGGGCTCTGAAGAAAAGAGTCGAGCCTCAATTAAGGGAGGATTGTTTAAGGGCTCCATAGGCCTCAGGAGAGACTCTATGATTGTTCGAGGGGAGGATTGTTGAGGATTGTTTGGGAGGGAATCCCACATCGGCTAATTACATATCTATTGGTGCAATACTTTTTAAGGGAACCAAAAACAAAGCCATGAAGGCTTATGCTCAAAATGGACAATATCACACTATTATATACAGTTCGTAGTTTAGGGAATCGCATACATTATTATTAGTTTCAGTTTCAGTACTTTTTGCATCTTCTGGAGATCAGGCTGGGTGTGAACTAAAGATGCCAATTATCTGGCTGTGAGCTGCTTGCATTGATGTCTTGAATTCAATTGTACAAGTTCATGCAATCAAAATTGGACATGAGGATCCCTAGTTTGTCAAAATATAGCTCACTCGATCGAAGATTTGGAAGTTCAAATTCTCTCAGCCAACTCCCACATTTTGTTGAACTCAAAGAGGAAAAAAAAAACATATGCTATCTAGGACGGATGCACAAAGTATATTATTGGTTATACTTGTCTTTCTTGTCACACTCTACTAAGTTGTGAAATGATTTATAGGTAATGGTACTTGTCTTTCTTGTCACACTCTACTAAGTTGTGAAATGATTTATAGGCTAATGGTACTTGAGATTTAGTTATTTGCAGGAAATGTGCAGCCATACCAGTTCATTCTGCCCCCAACTTGGAAACAAACGCGTGTAGCAAACATTTTATCTGGTAATTACTGTCAACCCAAGTGTGCAGAACCTTGGGTAGAGGTGAAATTTGAAGATGACAAGCAAGGGAAAATCCAGGTTGTGGCTTCCCCTTTGATACGTTTGACTAATAAGCCTAATGCTACAATTGAAGACATAGGTAGCCCTGAGAAGGTAATTGCTTCTCTTGGCCCTTTTGTCACTGGAAATACATACGACCCTGAAGAGCTCCTCGAATCATCAGTCGAGAAACTTGGTGATCAGACGGTATAATCCTCGTGTCTTGTACATTATTTTTCTTTTCCCTCAAAGTACAATAATGCTATGTCTTTGCCTAGCCTCCATTCTACTCTTTAATCAAAATAATGTCTTAAAAGTCTAGCTCAAATTGATGTTTTTTTCTTTAACATGGCTTTTCATAACCATATGGGTCATGGAGTTAATTTATATCATCCATGGAGAGCGAAACGAAGCATTCTTTATAAGGGTGTGGAAACCTCTTCCTAGCAAAGCGGATAATATTTACTAGCAACGGGCTTGGGCTGTTACAAATGATGTCAGAGCCAGACACTAGATGGTGTGCTAGCGAGGATGTTAGACCCCAAAGGGGATGAATTGTAGATTCCACATCGATTAGAGAGGAGAACAAAACATTTCTTATAAGAGTGTAAGTCAAGTTGATTTGTACTATCTAGCTAGGGTTCCACTTAGGCTATAGCAGCTCTGAAGCTTGTATTTGCCTTCCATCCCCTAACTTGTAACATTACATAGGGAAGATAGTTAATTTACTCTTAGCAGCACGAAACTGTGATGGTGAATACTTATTATAACCTTCTTTTATCTCGTTGATGCAGTATTACAAATACACACTCGAGACTCCTTATGCTCTGACGGGTACACACAATCTAGCTAAGGCAACGGCGAAAGGAAGCACGGTTGTGTTATTTGTGGCCAGCGCCAATGATAAACAGTGGCAGGCATCTGAGAAAGTTTTGAGAACCATGCTTGATTCTTTTCAGCTGTAATCCCCCAGCACAAAATGCAAATGAGAGATTATATTCGATAATATATGCTTCTATCTTCACATATAGTGAAGAATGTTCTTTGAGTTCTTCAATGTTCTTGTTGGCAGAGAATTCTTTAACATTATTTAATGGGTATTCTTTTTATTGGACTGGTATGTTCTGAATCTTGGCTGGTATTATCTGATGTTGATAATGGATGTTTTTATTGAATCATTGCTGAGATCATTGAATAGAGATTTTATGCATTTTACAAAATTGAATTTGGAGCTTTCCAGTGAAAGAGTGGGCTATTGTATATGTTTAACTTGAAGGTAACCTTTCGGACTTCATCTCAAAGTTTTTAAAACGCGTCTGCTAGATAGAGGTTTTTACGCCCTTATAAATAATGTTTTGTTCTCCTCTCCAATCAGATCTCACAATTCACCCGGGCTCAACGTCCTCGCTGGCACTTGTTCCCTTATCCAATCGATGTGAGACCCCCCAATCCACTCTTTTGGGCCCAGCGTCCTTCGTGGCATACCGCCTCGTGTCCACCCCTTTTAGGGTTAACGCCTGGAGTCTGGCTCTGATATCATTTGTAACGACTCAAGCCCACCACTAGCAAATATTGTCCTCTTTGGGCTTTCTCTTTCGGACTTTCCCTCGAGATTTTTAAACGTATATACTAGGGAGAAGTTTCCATACCCTTATAAAAAATGCTTCGTTCTCCTCTCCAATCGAGGTGAGATCTCACGTCATCCTTTCACACTCTTATCAAAAACTAAGAAATTCTTCTGGCTTGGGTCAAGTTTTGTTCATTACTAAACATGTTCCTAAGATACTATTCCTTCAATAAAATCGAAGAACGAGTTCAACTAAAAATGGATTGAGTCATTCATTTATCATATACATCTTACTAAAATAATTCCACTACTAAACAAATACGATGGTTCATCTCTCATCTTAAAACAAGATTCTCATTTCCAACTAGTCTATCAGAACTTCAAACAAGAACTCCATTCCATCATTGCCATTAAAACTCAAGGAATTCAAGTGCTTTTGATGCATGTTCATCTCCTCTCATATCCAAGTCCAGTTGGTTAAGTTTTGAATAAATCTCACAGGATTTAGGATGAGTAGCATCACCAACTGAGAAGACATGCGCTTTCTTATCTATCTCAATCCAGCTCCACCCTGCACTTTTCCTTACCCTTTTTTGTTGCATCTGTTTTCTAATATCAGCCAACTGTGTCCATAAACCAGCTCTAGCATAGATATGAGCAAGAGTTACATAGGGTGCAGCATTACTTGGATCCATCTCGATGAGTCGATATGCTACCTCCCTCCCGAGCTCGACCTCTACATGAACTTTGCAAGCGCCTAAAAGGGAACACCACATTACGTAATTAGACTCATAAGGAATTTTCTCCATCAACTCCTTAGCTTTTTCTACATGCCCATTTCTGGCATAGAGATCTATCAAACAAGCATAATGATCAATTTGAGGATCTAATCTGTATTCACTGCCCATTTTATTGAAATATTCAACTGCCTCATTTAGTAATCCTGCATGGTTGCAGGCAGTTAAAACTGCAGTAAAACAGACATGATCAGGCAAGAAACCTTCTTCAGTCAACAAACTCTCAAAGAGCTTTAAGGCATCTGAGCCTCTACCACATTGAGCAAAAGCCATTATCATCGAAGTCGAAAGCACACTGTTCTTCTCAACCGTCTGATTGAATATGATAAATGCATCATCAACGCTGCCACATTTCGAGTACATATCTAACAAAGAACAGACCACAAACACATTATTCTCTGATCCCATTTTTGTAACTAGAGAATGCACTTGTCTTCCTTGTTCAAGTACTGTTAGACTTCCACAAGCATTTAAAACACTAGTTAATGTATGATCAGTTGAGCTCAAATTACTAGCTCTCATCTCTACAAACAGTTTTAATGCCTCTTCCCCATACAAGTTTTGAGAAAACCCTGATATCATAGAATTAAATATGACATTGTCCTTCACATTTGCCTCATAAAAGAGCAGGGCAGCTTCTTCTATTCTTCCTAGTTTTGAGTAACAATCAATAGCGGAGCTAATTACAAAACTGCTAAAAAAAATAAAACCAAGTTTGATAACATGAGCATGAAACAAAGTTGTAAGATGATTCGGAAGTTCATCCTTCAGACTTGGGCATGAACTAATAACAGTGGCATAAGTAAAACAGTTGGGTCTATCCTGAGTTACCAACATATTCTTAAACATCAAGATGGCTTCCCTCCCAGCCCCATTTTGGGAAAGCCCAGATATTATAGAGGTCCAAGAAACTTGGTCATGAGTCTTCATATGAACGAAGATCCTTTTTGCATCCACAATGGCATTACACTTGGAGTATAAATTAACCAGTCCACTGTTCAAATATAAGTTATCTTCAAATCCTATTTTGACAATCTGCGCATGAATTTGCAGACCCAAAAACAAATTAATTGTTTTAGCACAAGAATTAAGAGCAGAGCAAAGAGAATACTTGGTCAATTTCGCTCCCAAGCTGCACATTCTGCAAAGTAACCCAATGCTTCAGAGGCAATAACAAGGTTGCCAAATTTCCTTTCCTAATCGGTAACATTCCGACATCCCTTTCGCTGAGATTCTTGTGAAGACGAAAGTGATAGTATCATAGCAAGATGCTCGTAACATTTGAAATCCAATGGTTACCTGGAATTCCCTGGATTTCAGCTCGCCGGAAATTATAAACAGACCAAAGAAAGAGAAATTGCCGATCGCGGCCGAAACAAAGTCGAACCATATCAAAAAGTTAATGGAAAACTCAACATCAGTTGATCATTCGTACTCGGAGAAATGCTTCCCGACTGGAATTTTCCTCCGCCGAAGAACGGTGCAGTCGGGGGCTTCGAGTAATTAGGTTTTCCGATGAAAGCGAGTAATTAGGTCTCTCAATATCACTTTCTACTGATTCTTCTCCACTGTAACGGCGATGAGGGTTTCCAACGTCGGCGATGAGGGTTTATTTTCTTCATTTTTTTCTTTAAAAAAAATAATAAATAGTGTTTTAAATATAATTTGGTTTTTTAATTTCATCTCTAGTTTAATCAAATTATTTTTATAAAAAGTAATTAAAGAAATACTACGGAAAATATTGTATTTTCTAAAAATACTCCTCGACGATTTTTATTGTATATGATAATAATTAATTTAGATAATGACCCTTTAATTCCATCATTATACATAATAATAATAATAATAATTACATTTTTATTTATAACGACGGTAAGCTGAAGATCCGTCATGTAGATTCAAAGCAACTACAAGAACGAAGAACAAATATATTCACGTTTCAATTGTAATAGTTCGAGCCCACCGCTAAAAAAGATATTGTCATCGTCATCGTATGTAAGAAAGAAGTTTTCACACTCCTGTAAGGAGTGTTACGTTTATAATCTCACAATCCACTCCTTTGGAGGCCTGACATCCTCACTAGCACACCGAAGAGTGTTTAACTCTAGTACTATTTGTAACTATTAATGATTTTTTTTCATTGTCATAAAGAAATGTCAATGTTTTTCGAGTTACGCGTCTGAAAACTAATCATAAATTGTTGTGATATTCTAATGCTATTATTTTTCTTTAAATTAGTACACACATCAAATTAAAAGAAAATTCACCCCTATCACAAAGCACATTAGTCGTTGCCCGAATACACGCATTTTATTGTGTCTTACAAATCCTTCATCAAACGTTAAACCAACCCGGTTTTGATTTGGTCATGCGAGCAGTGCTGGCAGGTTCATCATTGTCGATGCGACGATTGTTTCGAAAAGCTGCATAGCCAATAACGTAAGAGACGACAAGAACAATCAAAACGATGATGTTGACGACCGAGACCTTTCTCCAGCTCTTCTTGAGATTGGCTAGAACCCCAGCCTTGCAAGAGTCACAAGCATAGCAAAGTTGGTCTTGGTCATTGCTCCACCTTCCACAGTCAGGCTCGCCGCCCACCACCCCTCCTCCCACATCCCACGCTGTCTCGTTCACATATACATATCCGCAAACTGTGGGTGGCTTGCAGCAACCAGACTTCACACATATAGCAACCAAGTTAATGAATGATATCATCAAACCATAACATAAACTAGTTTATATCGTTGTGTATGTTCATGAGTTTATTCGTTGTGTCGTTGGCTCTGGTTCTATTTGTATCGCTATAGATGTCTTTCAAACACTTCGTGTCAGTACCTAACAATCCATGACTCGAGTCGATGTTAGTCGTATTTGTAATTGTTGGAAGAACTCCATATTGCATTGACTATCAACTCTTCGTTTGTAGCTCAACAAGGAAGGCATTCTATTTTTATAATCTAAAAGATTATGGGATAGTCACGATCATGCCTATCATCTACTAATAGAGACTAAAAGTATATCATTCAAAATCTAAAACATTAATTAGAACATCTTAAAGTCTTAAGAACATGATTATCAGGATCTAACAATCTTGATACGTTTTAAGCGAATAGGTTCGATACAACAATTCTAAAATTTGGTCCACGTTTCTTTTTCTAGAATGGATAAGGTTCTAATTTCATTTGTCCTAAAAGATCGTTTTCTAGCTACAATCGACCATATGAATATGCATGCACAAAACAAAAGAAAAAATAAGAATATTCATAAGAAAAAAAAAAAGGCACTTTTTTGCACTACAGAGAGGAATATAATAAAGTTTTAGGATACTTTTATATTATTCTTTTTCTACTCTCTCCCACCCCTCGAGATGGTTTAAAATATTCTACATTATCTATTATTTGGTGTGAAATGATGCATTTTTTTAGATCTAACCTAATTATTCAGACTGTCAATTTTTTCAACCCGTACAAACTTTGTTAAATAATGAACCCAATTCAAACATTTTTTTTTTGGGTTGGATTAGTTTGTGTGATTTATTAAAAAAAATTGTAAAAAAAATATTAATTCATAAAACATTTATTTATTTATTTATTTATTTTCAAATCTACCCTTAAATTTAAATATAAATTTTGAAAAATTAATTAAAAATTATTTTTGAGAGTGATGGAAAACAAATAATAAAAATAATTAATAAGCCAATTTTTTTTTAAAAAAATTATAAATAAATTTGGGTAACCAATCTAACCCATCACTAATAAAAAAAAAGGTGGGCCCGGGGGATCTTAGTGGGCCGGGACTTTCGGCCCATCACTAATAATAACACTCCACATGCAACAAAACTATCCTTAAATTACGTACATTAAACAAAATTATTAAATATAATCAGTTTGATTATCTAAAATATGAATTAATAAATAAATAAATTATATTCTAAAATATTTAAAAATGAAAATAATTATTTTAAAAAAAATCCACATGTACGTACCTCGACGGGAGTGAGATGTCTATGGTAAAACATATCAACGGTCTCCGGCACACCGCTGACGGTTCTGACAATTTTCCGGCATGATCCGGAGTCTCTAACACAGGAGCTAATCTTAGCCCAGTAGGAGTCATCGGCGACCCGGTCCCTGAGCCACCCAGAATAGTCCTGGAGATAGTAATCGAAGTAGGCGCGGTTGGGGAGGGGGCGGCCGGAGCCCCGCTCGGTGACGGCGTAGGCGAAGATGATGAATCCGACGAGGGCGCCGATGACGAAGAACATGACGAAGAGGTAGAACCACATTAGGAAGGTGTTGCGGTAGCAGGCGCCGCCGAAGCCGGCGAGGGAGACGATCATGACGGTGACGCCGATGCCGATTAGAGGCCACTGGAGGAACTTGAGGCAGTCGGTGGTGTTGGCGCGGCTGCTGAGCCAGATGCCGCCGCCGATGATGGGGAGGGAGAGGAGGAAGGTTAGGAAGTTGAGAAGGCCGATCAAGTGATTGCTGGCTCTCATGGTGGACGAGAAAATGAATATGCCTCTCCCTATTGCTTCTTCTTTCTTATAGAACCACCCGTATTCATAGTCGGGGGCCCAATGTTTAAGCTGTAATTGGGCTGTTTGATGGCCCTACTTGAGTTAATGGGCCATTCATTTCCTCAGGGTTTGCATCTCGTTCTTAACGTTTGGCCCATATTCCAACTTTTGTTCCAGTACACTTAGGCTAATTAACCAAAAATCATTCGGGTTAGGTTGGGTCGAGAGATTTTTTTTTTTTTTACCAAATTTAAAAGTTAATTATATTCGTTACCAACCTTTATTATCCATATTTATAATTATATAAAAGATAATTAAAAAAATATATTTATTAAAAAATATTTTATTTATCCATATTTATAATTACTGAGTATAAAAGATAATTAAAAGTTTACAAACAAACAGAAATCAATCTATAATTATTTACTCAAAAAAATAACCAACAAACAAATTAAGGCAAAGAAAATAACAAATGAGGCAAACTGAGGAAGGACGAACAACCAACGAAGATTGTATCATATTAGCATAGTTTAACATTGTCATAAAACTAGACAACTAAAATATCGACAAAAAAAAAAACAAACAAATTGAGGAATCAAGAACAACGAGCGAAAATGGTAACATATTAACATAGTTTAACATTATCACAATTAAAATATCGAAATTTTTTTACAATTGATTAAAGTAATAAAGATATAAGGATAGATTATAAAATTTAAAAAAATAAATAAAATTGATTAGTTTAAATATATATATATATATTTAATAGTTTAGAGTTCGATCTAGTAGTTATTTTAATTATAATATTTTTTATTTTTGTTATATATATATATATATAAATAAATTATGATATAATAATATTGCAACAAAATCTTTAAATTAAGGGGTTTACGTAAATTCATCATTCAGGTAACTTCTTAATATATTTTATAAGTTTTATCTCATGAACTTGAAACCGGATCAAGTACATTGGAAAGGCTACCAACCCAATCCAACTCTTTAGGTTGGGTTGGTCGTCAGATTGTCGGTGGCATGTAACCCCTACTATAAACATCTGTTTATGTTGAGTCTCAGTTGCTTTTGAAGGCGAAAGGAACTGATTTTGAGCTGACCAGCATCATAGTGGAAGAGTGGAAGTTGGAATTTATTGGGCGGAAACGACAAGCCGCTATAGTGCTAGTCCACACAACCAAGCGTTAAGAACAAAGGATAGAAAGAAGAAATAAGACATCGAAATCCGGGCGAACCAGAGCAACCTCTGCTCTTCTGCTCTCCTTTATCCACCCATCACTGCCTGACAACATTCAACAAACACCAACACCACCACCCTTTCCAGGTATGCCTTCTGGGTTTAATGTTTCTGTGTTCCACTGTTCTTATCCATTTCCATTTTGTTTTTTTGCCTCTTTCTGTACCTAAACAGAGTTCAACACAACCTCATTCATGAGTTCTTTTCGTTTTTTAACGAATATGGCTTTGTTCATCTGGGTTTCTGTGAAGTGATTTGCTTCTTTGGAGCTCGTGAGTATGTGGATCTCAGGCTTTTGCTTTGACCCTTTGAGTTTTCAGCTGTTTCTGTTTGTTTCCTGGGAAAATTGTTTACAGAGCATGTTGAATGAAGCTCTGGGAGAAAGCGCCACTTTCCCAAAACCATGAAATTCGTTGGTTTTTTGGAGACTTATTAGGAACATTGAGTTGGGTTTATCATGATTTCTTAGCATTAGATGTAATTAAAAAGTTAATAGATGTAATTAAAAAGTTAACAGCCTTTATGATTATTTTGAAAATCCTTGATGTTTCTTGTCGGCTTGTTTGTGTTAAATGTCAAAACCAAACAGTAGACAATGCGTACCTACCGCCCTAATGTCACGGCCAAACTGGAGGAACAGCTTGAATTAACTCCAATTTTTCTCAAACCTTTTGTTACAGAGGAGAAAACATTTTTTATAGAAACTTTTCTCTAATAAACGCGTTTTAAAACCTTGAGGGAAAGCCCAAAAGAAAAAATCCAGAGAGGACAATATCTGCTCGTAGTAGTGAGCTTGAGCTGTTACACATAAATCCCCAAATTAGAGATAGAAACAGTGCAAAACTCTCTTGCGTCCAAACCATCCTAGCACAGGCAACAAAGGTACGATACACCTCGACTAATCTCACAGGACAGTTGTTTTGGCTCAGCTCCGTTTAGCTGATAAGAAAACTCGTTGGATATTAAATCTTAGTTAAGTAGGTAACGGTCATAGATTGAACCTATTCCTTTCGTGGCGGGTAAGTTCGAATCCTCGAAAAGATTACCATATAAGTTGTTTACTACAGATTTGAACACTTTTTCCATTTAATTTTAGTTTGAAATGTATGAATATACGCATTGATTACAAGGTAAGTGGCAATTAATGGTTTCATTTCTTTTCCCATTCTGGGTTGAAATGTGATGATAAGGACCACAAGCTGTTCATGATCTGCATTTATTTCCTTAAGGTCACTCCCATTGGATTCCTACCCGTTCATTGTTGTGGTTTTTTTTATTGCAGAGTTGCAGGGTTGGTGGGTCAGGAAGCATTGAAGGAGGATAGTATAGGCTAAGCTTTAACTCACTTACTTTTCAAAAGGGTAGCGATGCAGACCCCAAAATCAAGGTAAGTTTCAACAAATCCTTCATCAACTCGCTTTTTTGACTCCATTATTGAAGTAGTTCATATGAATGTAGGTAATGCATGTTCCTTGGCGGTTCTTCCCCTTACAATTACAACTCTTCACTTCTATTAGTTTTCTCTTACTTGAAAGGAGTGTATTATGCCTTGCTTGAAATTGAATTTGGTATATGTTAGCTACTTTCAATCAACTTTGAAGCCCTACAAGAGATGTGAAGCGGGCTAGTTCCCGAAAATGGGGCTGGCAATTCACCTTTTGACTCATTCCTTTGGTTGAGCGTTCTTCGGACGTTGATCATGCAAGGGATGTAAAGTGGGCTAGTTCCTGAAAATGTTTGTTCCTCTAACGTTGGGGCTGACAATTTCACCTTGTGACTCATTCCTTCGGTCGAGAAGTTGATCAAGCAAGGGATGTGAAGTGGGTTAGTCTCTGGAAATGCTTGTTCCTCTAACGTTGGGGCTGACAATTCACCTTGTAACTCATTCCTTCGGTCGAGCGTTCTTCGGACGTCGATCAATCTATCATAGGCCTCTCTGTCAATTGGAGAGGGGAACGAATGCTAACAAAGACGTTGGGCGTCGAAGGGGGGTGGATTTTGAGATCCCACATCGGTTGGAGTGGGGAACGAAACATTCTTTATAAGGGTGTGGAAACCTCTCCGTAACATACGCATTTTAAAATCTTGAGGGAAAGCCTAAAAGGGAAAGCACAAAAAAGACAATGTCGACTAGCAGTAGGCTTGGGCTTGGGTACTACAGTGATTGTCGGGTTCCAAACCTTTTGTTTTGTTTGGTCATTAATATTCTTCTTGTTCTGTTATTTAGTGTTTTATTCATCTTATAACATCATCTGTACATTCTTACTTGTTAGGCATTTATTTGATCCAACAGTCTTTTATGAGTTTGTAGACCATGCAAATCATAGGCAATCAAACAATTTATTTCCTCAACAGGAATTCCTTCTCAGAACCACCTCAAAAGGTTTCTCCACGAGTTGCTCGGAAACTTCGTCCCGCTTCTCCGGAATGTGATTCTGCTTCCTCAACCCGAACAAACAATCGAACCATTAAAGAACGAAGCCCGAAAGTCGTCGATCGAAAGTCGCCTAGAAGCCCTGCAAGCGAGGTAATATTACTTGTACCTCTTGGTTCTTGTTCAAAGTTGAGCTTCATGCACCTCCATTAATCTTGATAGAAGTTGGATTCTTATAAGAAATCATAATCGCTCCCACGTCAGTTGGAGAGGGAAACAAAACATTGTTTATAACGGTGTGGACACCTCTTCTAACTGACGTATTTTAAAAACCTTGAGGGGAAGTCCGAAATAAGACAATATCTGTTAGGGGTGGGCTTGGGTGGTGTACCAATGAGGACACTGAGTTTCGAAGGGATGGTGTGTCAATAAAGACGCTGGGCTCCAAAGAGAGGTGGATTGTGAGATCCCACATCAGTTGGAGAGGGGAACGAAATATTTTTTTAACTTTATTTCTCGTTGCTACTTCAGAAAAAACGTCCAAGCAAGATTTCCGAGTTGGAATCTCAGGTTTCTCAGCTGCAAGAGAATCTAACCAAAGTGAAGGACCAGTTATGTTTATCTGAATCATGCAAGAAGGAAGTCAAGCAAGAGGCCGAGGAGGCCAAGAATCAACTAGAAGCCATGGCCTTAAAGCTTCAAGAGTCACAAGAACAAGTACTTGAGCTATCTACTTCCAACGAAGCTCATGTCATAGAACTACAAGAGATATCACTCGAACGAGATCGAGCTTGGCAATCCGAGCTTGAGACGATTCAAGAACAGCAGAAACTCGACTACGCTGCGTTGGCTACTGCAGTGAATGAGATTCATCAGCAGAAGATCCACCTTGAGATGGTAGCTCAATCCAAAACAAAAAAGATCAAACTTACGGACTCCGAAAATAACGAACTTGATAGCTTGAGAATTCACCTTGCAGATGCTCTTTGTGTTGTGGAAAGAATGAAAAACGAGCTTGAAAGTTGTCGAGAATCCGAAGCTCAAGCTCGGTTACTTGCTAATGAAACTCTAGCACAACTAGAAGACGCCAAAAAACGAGTCGAGGAGCTTAGATACGACGGTATGGAAGCAATGAAGGGATACCATTCCATTGCTTCAGAGCTGGATGAATCAAAGGCACGGATTAGCGTGTTAGAAGAACTCGTTAGTAAACTCAAAACCGACGTTGCGAATCCAGCAGTCGAAAACGAGAAAAAGGGAGATCATATTGATGAACATTGTTGTCTCAAATCAGAGATAGAACAGCTGAAATCTGCCTTGGAAATGGCTGAGACAAAATACCATGAAGAACAAATTCAGAATGCAGTCAAGATAAGAACAGCTTATGAACAAGTTGAGCAGATTAAAACCAACATGAATTCTAGGGAGTCTAATCTAGAGCAGGAGCTGAAAAAATCAAAGGTCGATATTGATGAGTTAAAGGCCGACTTGATGGATAAGGAGACCGAATTGCAGGCTATCTCGGAGGAGAACGAGCAGCTGCACGCGAAAATTCAAAAGAATCTATCGAGCCAGAGAGAATATGAACTTGAAAGAGAGATTAAGGAATTGAAGGATCATCTTGCAGTGATGAAGTCCAATCTCATTGACAAGGATAGACAATTCCGAAGCATTTTAGACGAGAACGATACGCTAAAATTCGATATAAACAAAAGGATAATGATTCGAGCGAAAGCAAGCGATGGGACTACAGAAGTTGATAATGCAACGACTGTCGAACAAGAGGCTCTCACAAGACTTGGCGTTATGATGGAGGAGACAGAAAAAAGTAACAAGAGGGCGGCTCGAGTGTCCGAACAGTTGGAGGCTGCACAGGCTGCAAATGTCGAAATGGAAACGGAGTTGAGACGGTTGAGGGTGCAGTCAGACCAATGGAGGAAGGCTGCAGAGGCTGCAGCCGCGATGCTCTCTGCTGGAAACAATGGCAAGTTCATGGACCAATCGGCGTCGTTGGACAGCAGCTACAACTCGGATGCTGCAGGAAAAATGAACAGGAGTTGTGCTGAAATAGATGATGATTTGCTGAAAAAGAAACATGGGAATGTGCTAAAAAAGATAGGGGTGCTGTGGAAGAAACAACACAAATGAAAGGGTCAAGGCCAGGGCCAGGGCTTGGCATGTCTAACTCTGCTTGTGGGGCAGTTTATTTTGTTTTGCAACTCTTGTACTGTTGATCTTGATATCATATGAAGCTCAAGAACACCACCCTATTCAAATTTCGGCAACAATTTAAAGTGACTGCCAATTTAGCTCGAGCTTAGTTTAACACAATCTTGAACCGATCTAGCCTACTAACTTTAGCTCTACTCGAACCAATAGTTTGATAGAGGTTTTTGAGTTAAGTATTTGTTCGTGATTCAACTTGTAAATTTGGAGCAAAAGTGATTTTTGATTGAACGAAACGTAATCATGTTACAGTTCGAAAGTTAACGCTCTAAAACTATTTGTAATGACTCGTGTGCAGAATTCAAATTAGGATTCGGCACCGGTGTGTCCCAACATTCCACTGTTTCACTTGTAACATGATTAAGTTATTTAATTTATTTATTTTTTTTAATCAAAAGCACTTATTATTGTAATATTCATTATTAATTATTATATAATATTTTAATTACCTAAAAAATAATATATTGATTTTTGTCCTCTGACAAATTCTCCCTCCCGAATCCTGCGTGGATTTTGTCTGTTGAGAGAGACACCAAAGCAAAATCCATCCCGAAGTTGCTGCTCATGCTTCACTCTAAATCCCAATAATATATATATTATATATATATATATATATGTGTGTGTATATGTATAATATAATATAATATAATTTTAAAAAATCCAATGCCTTCCGAGTAGAGACTACAAAGTCAACCGAAAATCGGTCCGAGCTCGTTGACCAAAGTCCATTGTACCAAAGATGTAAGCTATGATCAATAAAGTCAACTTTGGTAAGCTTGAGCTACATTGACTAGTTTGAAGTCAACTCGATGTAATATCAAAACATTCATTAGAAACTCCGATTCATTCTTATAAACAAGATTCGAAAGTGCGTCTATGAAGTATACTCACACAAAACCCAGCTGTTCGATACATTAAAAAAAGAATCGAGATGTGTGTGGTATGACACTATTGCAAAACTTGTTTTTATAACTAGATTCATTCCTTTCATAATTGAGATCGTGCGAATCTAGCTTAAGTAGATTCATCGAAATTATTATATCAATAATATATAGAGACGTGGGTGCGTGTATTAAAAAAATGTCAATTCTTCCTATTACTCTCACCTATTGATGGTGATGTCAAAGAATAAAGTAGATGCTAAGACATCAATTCTTTTATGTAACAATACTAATTAAGACAAAAAAAATGATGCATTTTGAGGAACTAAAATGCAATTTTGTTCTATTTCTTTTGACCTAAAAAAATAATTTAATTCTTTTTTATATTAAACTTTTTATTTCACCAAATTAATACAAAATTGATATTAACCCAAAGAAAATCGACGCAGGTTTTTGCACAATTCAATCCGCCTAAAATTTTTATAAAAAAAAAAAAATTGATATTCTTAAAATGAATGAATTTATGAAGATTGCAACAAGAACGAGATGATGGGTTGAACTTGCATCGCTTATCTAAGACTTCTGAAGTCGAATCCAATCGAAATGAAAGTACAGGTGAAAATTGAAAAACGTTGATGTAAAAATTCATTTTACTTTTGATTTTTTATCATTATCTTTTTATTGTTCACATCCATTGAAACTTTTAAGTTGAACGCTAAACATGCACTGAATTCCGCTCTTATTTTCCATGAAAATCACGACATAATTCTCTTTATTAACTTTAAGTTAATCCAAGTCATCACCTTTCATAAACGTTTTTCAAAACTTCAATTCCAAATATTAAAAAAAATAAAATTAAACAAAAGACTGTCCCCAAAAAAAAAAAAAAAAAAAAAAAAAAAAAAAAAAAAAAAAAAAAAAAAAAAAAAAAAAAAAAAA